TCTCTCTGTCAAATAAATAAATAAAATCTTTAATAAATAAATAAATAAAATCCTATTTTTTTAGTGCCTATGCGATTCATCCAAATTGTTATGTCTGTCTGTACTGCAGTGGGGAATAGTAATTTGTTGTTGCTGGCACTTGAGAGCATTATCTAAGAACTCCCATTACTGAGCTGTCAAAGGCCTGCTTCGCTGCGAAGCTCCCTTCCTCTTGTGTTGAAAGTGGTATCGTTTCCTGACACGAACCAGTCCTCACAGGAGTGAGGCCCAAGCGTTGATCTGAGAAGGGCAGATCATGGAAATTTTTCCAGTTATTTGAGGAGAAGCTTTTCTGTAACTGCAGACATTCTAGTGGGGGTCCTGCCGTTCCTTTCTACGAAGAAAACTTTATTCTGAGGGAGATGATCCCCAGAACACCCATGGCAGGGGCCTCACCTCCATCACGGACTTCCTGAGGCTCAGGGCTATTCCTAGACAAAGTTGTACACTTGCAGTGACAAGCATGTTTTTGAGGTTTTGAGGAGTTAGCTCAAAGTTGACAGAAAACTACAATTCGTTTCTTTCTCTCGTGTTTTCCTTCTGAATGTGACCGTTCGTACCTTGAGCATCTCTACCTGGTTAGTCAGCTCAGCCCATCTAGTCTAAAATATTTCTTTCTTTGAGAAACCTTTCGACACCCCGCCCTCCCAGACAGAATAAATGGCTTGGTTTTCCGTCTCGGAGCAAGTGCATGCATTCTTACTGTGGGGGAAGGGGGGAGCTTGGGTCACATTTGGTGAGGGTTGATTATTTCCCTATTTCTAGCCCCCTTCTAGATCATGCACTTCTTGCGGGCAGAGGCTTTTTGGTACCACCCTCAGATCCCTCAGCGGTCTCCCCTGGTGCCTGGCACCAGGTCTTGAATCAATGCTGGCTGAATGGATGGGGAGGCATGTGAACACGTTTCTGTGGTTCCAAAAAGCAAAGCTTTCACGTTCTCAGATGGGGCAGGCTCCTTCCTGTGCTTCTGGTCGTCGCGACATCAGTATTTATGAGGCCGTCTGTCCCGGGTTAGGACTTGCACCTGACTGATATCTAGAATGACTTTTGATTAGGACTGGCGTGTTTCCTCACTGACTCTTGCCAGGGTCATGACGAGGCAGCCTCCACCCATGCTGTCTGGGATGACACATTGGCCTCTGCTGTCATCGGCCTTCCTGTAGTAACTGCCCCACAGAGAGAGAAGCTGTCTACAGCCTCACTTCCACGTGGGACCTTGCCAACTAGTCCTCTTTCTTCAAGGACATCAGAACAGCAAATTTCAGGAAATGAGAAAAGCAGGCAGGGATTTCTAAAAAAAAAGGAAAAAAAATCGTGAAATCTGTATTTTTTTGAATAAGTAACACATTCACATGGTGCAAAACTCAATAAAGGTACACAAAGTTCTATGCGGTGGTTTCCCACCCGGCTCTGTTCGTCAGCTGACCAGTGCCCCTCCCTGGAGGAAACCGTATCTATATGGGACTGTGTATCTGGATGGCTCCATGGTCCTCGATCTTTACTTTTTGTGGATGTTTCTCTCGTTCCTCCATAACAATGTTCTTCTCATCCTGGCAAATGTTATGGATCAGCTGACAGCGTGTCTGTGCTACAAGAATATTGGATGAGTCGGGGCGTATAGCATCTCTATTTGATTGTGAATTAGATGCATTTTCATTCACTTACGTTCTTGTTCTTCTAAGATAAGCCAAGAAGTGCTGATTGTCGCATCGGCCTCACTCATGCGGTCTTCCGTGCATGAACCATTGCTTCCATCTGTCTTGCTGCCAGCTCAGGATGGTTTAGAGCTCACTCACACATTTTGCAGGGGACGGTTGTGCAAGAAATGTCGATATTTTCCAACACTTTTTTGGCCTCTTCGATGGTTTCTTCTTTTGGCTTCTTCGAGGCCCTGCCTCACCCCTGTCCTCAGCCCTACCAGCACACACCCACCCACATGTGCTTTGGAGCCTCTCTGCCCCTCTCTTCCCGGAACGGCTGGAAAGGAGAAAAGGACCGAAAGGAAGAAGCCTGGCTTCCTCAGGCAGCAGTCTTTTGGCTTTAGCTGAGGGTTGGTTGTAGGTGTGGAGTTTGCAGATGATCTCTCGCTCCCTCTTTCCCTCCCTGACAGCTGTGGAGGGTCCACCTGCTTCTCCTCATGCACTCTGGGGCCCTGACTGCTCAGAGCCCAGGGGCCTTGGAGCCGCTTCCCTCCGGCTTCCTCCCGCCTCTAGATGCTTAGCCGGCGCTCAGTCAAGTGGCAGCCCCCCGCAGTCCTCCGGGGGCCAGTGGCCGGTGATTAAGTAGCCAGGTCTTTAGCTGACTCCATCCTTGTTTGTCAGAACTCTGCTGCAAGTTATTTTGGTCTCTGTGACTTGTGGCTGCACCATGATTAGGGTTTGATTACTATCACCAAAGTGACTAAAAGATGAAAATAGAAGCCACAACAGGAAATAAACAACTGCAAATGAGAGATTTTATTCCATATTCCCTGCCAGCAAGTGATTAGAATCAAACTCATTCACAATAGTTTGGTGAACTCCTAAACTTTTTTTTTTTTAAAGTATCAGAATAGTTTGAAACGGGGTGCTTGTCAGTCTCATTTGCGCCCGTGGAAAGGAAAGGAACTCCCTTTCTAGGCACACCAGCCAGCCAGGAGTTCCTCCATGGCCCGGCTTCTTTCTTGGAAAGGAAAGGAACAAGAATGCAGCGGGGTGGGGCTGGCTCTCAGGAAGGCTCGGGATGTTAACTGATTCAGGGGATGCCAGGGAGACATAAAGTAGCACCAATCATTGTAGCGACTTGCCCAGCATCCCACCCATCATCTACCTAGGGTAGTAAAATGGAGGAAAGCCATGTACAGAGGGTAAGATAGAGGTGACGCCTGAATTAAAACACCCACAATTACGCTATGTGGGAACATAGCTCTGCAAGTATATGCATGTTCTACTCAGACAAGCCGTGACGTCAGATTCAGCTCCTGAAACACCCACTAAGCCTACCTGCCTTGTGTGTGTGCTCTGGCCTCTCATCACAGAGCATTAGCACCATTGGCCAGATTTCTAAAAGAGTCCTCACATTCTCCATTTAGCCAAGATGCTTAATTAGAATGATGACATTTGATTTCTCTGTTTATTTATGTCTTCTTGTCACTTTGCAGCCTCGCCTAGCCTCTCTTGAAAAGCAAAGATCTTCTAGCGAGGCCCAGAGCAGTGAGAGGGAATGGGACCCTGAGAGGGCAGGAAACTGGCCCAGAAAGCTTTTTAATCCCTGCCAAGTGAGGATCCCCACTGGTGCAAGTTATTTCACCAGTGAGGGCAGAGCCCCAGCCTGGAATCAGGTTTTCTGACTTCCGGTCTGGGATTCTTAATAAGCCTTTCTAAGGTGAGTATATTATACATTTCCCAGAAATCTTATTTCTGTCTCTTTGGTCTTTCCCACCTGTGATGATGGGATCCCCCAGAGCCAAACCTCCACTTCGACCATTTCCTCCTGGGCTTTCTTGGCTGCTGTCTTTGCAAGGTGCCTCTTTACAAAGCCTCCCCTCTCCCAACACACACACACAGTCTCAATGCCATTTTCAATAGGCAACATTTTTATTTACAATAAAATTATGACCTTATACAATTGCAGCTATGTGGTCTTACAAAGTCAATGTTTAGAATGCCCGCTTCTGCCCGGCCCTACACACATTTCTGCTCTGTTGGGCACCCAGTGTCTTATTGTCGATAAGCTTCAGGGCTCCCTCGCCTGGAGATGATCGTGTAATCAATGTTGCTGATTTTCTCTCACATTTTTACCTCCAAGGTGCTTTTGTTAGATTTGGGGGGAGTGATCCAAATGCCCCTTTGCGACGTCCTCCCTTGATTCCTAACTGTTTATTAAGCATGTACTGTTAAGTCATAGGCCTCTGAAGTTGTTGGA